CACTATGTAGCCCTGGCCAGGAACTCCCTGTATAGACCAGAATGGCTTGAGCTTACAGAGATCCACCTGCCTCTGTCACCCAAGTGCTGGGATTAAAGGTGAAAGCCACCATATCCTGCCCATCCTCATTTTCATTCGACAAAAATGTTTATTTACCCATACTGACATACATAATACCGGGTCTCATGACATTCCCATATGTGTGTGCCGTGTTCTTTACTCAACATTCTTTTCCCTCTCCTGTCCTCCCCACTGGTACTCAGTTCCCTCTCCTGCACCCCCCCACTCCAACTGGCCCTTCTCCCCTTCCCTACTAGGCCACCCCCTACTTTCACGTCCTTTTTATTTCTTAGTGACCTAAAGAGTTTAATTAGGGTGACTTTTAGGAGCATGGGTGAGGGGTTGAAGGCTCATGGGCACCTTGCCAGTGGCTACACCACTGAGGAAAATGTCTCACCCTCTGCCAGCAACCATTAACTGTCTAGAAGGCCTCAGCCAGAGGGGGGACCTCATGAGTCCCTCTCTTTATTTATTTATTTATTGGTGTTTGTTTGAGACAGAGTCTTATACTACAGCTCAAACTGACTTGGGACTCACTGCATAACCCAGGCTGGCATGGAACTTGTGGCAATCCTCCTGCCTTGGCCGTCCACATACTGGGATGACAAGTGTTGGGTACCCTGCTTGGCCATTATTACTGAAAGCTGAAGGCTTCTCTTCTGTGTGTCTGGAGCAATGTATCCTGTGTGTCTGGAGCAATGTATCCTGTCCACAGTGTATCCTGTCCACAGCGTATCCTGTCCACAGTGTATCCTGTCCACAGTGTATCCTGTCCACAACGTATCCTGTCCACAACGTATTCTGTCCACAGTGTATCCTGTCCACAGCGTATCCTGTCCACTGCGTATCCTGTTCACTGCGTATCCTGTCCACAGTGTATCCTGTCCACAGTGTATCCTGTCCACAACGTATCCTGTCCACAGTGTATCCTGTCCACAGTGTATCCTGTCCACAGCGTATCCTGTCCACAGTGCATCCTGTCCACAGTGTATCCTGTCCACAGCGTAACCTGTCCACAGTGTATCCTGTCCACAGTGTATCCTGTCCACAGCGTATCCTCTCCACAGTGTATCCTGTCCACAATGTATCCTGTCCACGCATCCATGCTGATTCTCTGCAGCTGTGGGCATGGTGTTCATTTCTGGGGGTGTGTTCTACTTCACAGTACAAAAGTTTTGAAAATAAACTAGGCCTCGACCTCAGACATTCACCCCTGGTTCAGGTAAGAACTGGAGGCCATGCCCAGGTTCTGTCACTCATTTCTGTCATGTGACAGTCACCCCAGACTCTGCCCAGACACTCTGGAGATAGGTGATAGCCCCGGGGTCACATCACAGTGACAGGCACCTCTCCTGGGCTGGGCTGGCTGTATGCTCAAAGGTTTCTGAATAGATTAAATATCATGCTATAGAAAGCTGTTATCTAGTGTGACCAGTGCTCAGAAAGCACTCTGTTCAAGGTGGCATCGTGGTATCTGAACAAAAAAAAAAAAAAAGAAAAAGGAGGATGTGGCTGCTCTTGGGCATGGTGGAGGAGAAGGCTTGTTGAAGATAAAAGGGTCTAGCGACCCTTTCACAGAGCTCACACAGTGGAACCCCTGCAGATCATATATGTTCTCACATTACACTTCATAACTAGCAAGATTCCAGTTTTGAAGT